TACCCGTCTACCTTTTACCTTACCTTGCCGAGGGTTAGCTGCTACCGCGGTACTTATTTTTCAAAAATGCTTTAATTCTGAAAAAAAACAAAACTGGGTTATCACACCAATCCAAGCAAGATTGATTCGATTTCAAAATTGTTCTTATTCAAAGTTCAATTACAACAAATGTATTTAGATTCAACAATTGGAGGAGAAAGACGTTGGAAACAATTGTGTAGATTACCAAAGATGTTGTGTTCATTTTGACATGACTTTACTTCAAACTTGCAAAGTTTTACAAGGGAATACAAAATAATATTGTTCATTCAAATTTTTGAAAACTACTCTAATTATTTTTCCAAATATATATTTCATGGCTAAACTTAGTCATAAGTAGATAAATTTAGTTAAAAGTAGCTAGACTTAATACTATCTAAACTAAGCATGATCATTTACTTGGTTGATTCTACTAACAATACAACATACAATACAACAATCAATCTTAGCATTTTCTACCTGATACACTCCATTACTAGAGTTACATTCAAGGTACATTGAATCTAACATTCTACGAAATGTCAAATTTTTTTTCATATCAAGTATAAAACTTGAATCAATGTATGTTGTACTATAACAAACATGCGGATCTCAAGATATCAAATATCTTCAATCTTACAAGGTTGATCTTTTACCATAAAAACTTAACCATTTGTAACTAGAAAAATACATAAGAATTTTCTAATGTAACAAATGTGATAAGAACAAGCATTTTCTATAATCTATAACCATCAACAATCTTTGATGAAATGCATAGGGCATGTTTTTTAGCATCAAAATTTGTACTCAACAAGTTATTCTCCTCACGATTAAAGTCTTCAGTCACATTTGCTTATGGAGTATCAACACTTTTGTTCTTCACATGGTGATCATTCTTGACGTGACATGTAAGATTGGTTGTTGTACGTGTGAAGTTGTAGTAGAATTAGTCAAGGAGTTTATAACGAACAGTTTAGGAATCACTAAGTCTAGCTAGTTATGACTATGTTTGACTATAATATCTATATTTTGGAAAATGATTAGGATAGCTATAGAATATTTAAATGAGAACTACTATTTTGTCTCTTACAAAAGTCTAGATTCCAAAGAGATAAGAGTTTGACTACATATTAGTTTTGATTGATTTGACTAAGTAATGATTATCCTTTGTTCTAACAACTTTAAAATTGACTTAATGACACGTTGAAGTTCTAGAACTTTGAAGATTTTAAATGTTATGTCGTCATGTCAATCTAGTGATAAGTTTACTTCTAGAATGTTTAGGTAAACCAATGACGCATTGTCACATAATGAAAACTAGTCTAACTTACCAAGATTTATTTTAATAAAAGTAAATTAGATGATAAATATCATATATTATTGTGATAATGTCTTAGATAGTATAAATAAAAATGCAAATAATAGAATTTCAAGCAAGTTTAAAGAATTTATTGTATAAGAACTTGTTTCATCAATAAAATTTTGAATTAGATTATTCTTGTTGGACTGTTAATGAATGTTTGTAATTGAATGATAAGGATACATTTTGTGTAAGAGAGTATTTGGAATATGGACATTAGAAAATATTTTAGTCTTTCAAAATCATGATGAGTTAGCGAAAAGCCATTTGAAGTAAATTTGAATTAGAGAGATTTTGAAAATCATAGTATGTGATAAGATAATATTTAGAGATCATAAGCACAACAATCTATATTCGCTAGAGTGCATTAACATTAATGGACAAATTAACTTTATTAAATCTTAAATAGACTTGTCTCATGTGTGGTAAGACACATGAGTCATAAATTGAAAGTTTTTCCTAAGCAAAAGTAAACTATTACATGAGATTGATAAAGTGAATATAGAATTTTGCAAATATTGTATCATGGACAAGCATCATAGATAAACATTTGATGTTGGAACTCACAGTTCCAAATAGTTATTTGAATATGTACATTTCATTTGTGTAATCTTTCTTCAAAAGTCTCACTTTGAAAGTTTTACTATGCATCATTTATTGATGATTAGTCAAGGTTTGTTTGCGTTTTATTTTTCACACACAAGTCTAAGATGTTTACAAAAAAGCTAAAAAGTCTAAGTTGAGACTTAGATCAAACACAAGGTGAGATATTTAAGTACAGATAATTCCCGAGATATATTTCTAAGTAGTTTTGGATTTATTGCAAAGAAGAGAAAATTACTTGTCATTTTATCACGCTTTATATTACACATCAAAATACTGTTTCAAAGAAAATAAATCAAACAGTGTTGGAATATGTGTGTAGTATGTTGAGTCAATTTGAATTCCACATAAATTTTGAGCTGAAGTAGCTAATATCGCAACGTATTTGGTAATCAGTTTTTCTTATGGTGTAATTAATTTTTTGACACCGTTTGAACAGAGTGACAGACAAATGGTTGTATGTCTTATAATCTCATATCTAAGGAGAATAAGACTAATTAGTTCATACATTCAAGAAATGTTGTTTTCTTAAATATTTTATAGGTGTGAAGGGTTATAATCAATGAGATCCAGTAGGTTGTAAAGCTATTGTCAGTAGGTATGTATCTTCAAAGAGATTAGATCATTAATAGAGTAGAAGAATTTTCAAACTTCTAGTACTAACAAGAAAATATCTCTAATCATGTATCTTGTTGAGAGAATGATTGATCATTGTGTGATAAATGTTGTGACAATTCGATTAGTTGATGAAAGCACAAAGATTTTTTTTAAATGTGTATGATTTTTGTGTATATATGAAAAAGATGACTATTGAGATCTTTAATTTTTTTATTCTAGTATTTTACGTGAATAACATGATCATATTGATGAAGAATCAATCCAACGTTGACAGATGCAAGAATCAATTGAAGTCTGCAATCAAGATAAAGGATTTGGATAAAGTATATAAAAAATGTGCATTCATAGAAATTTGATGAAGAAGAGTTTATGGTTGAAAAAAGTCAAGTATGTTCAATTTGTACTTTACAAATTCAACATGATAGACTTTATAGTAGTATTCACTCCTTTGACAACACATTATAAACTTTTAGCAACTCAAGGTTCAAATGATGACATTGAAAAAGAAGAATATCATATGTTCACTATGACAAAGTTGTGTGTAGCCTCATGTATTTGATAATATGTACAAGGTCTGAAATGGCTCTTGCAATGTGCAAGGTGAACATGTACACGTCAAATTCAAGAAAGTTTCATTCGGCAGTAGTGAAATGATTTCTCAAGTATTTGAAGCGTACTAAAAAGTGTGATTTATTGTTTAATGGTTTATTAGATAATATCAAATCCTTGTTGGACTATGTTGATGTTGACTATGAACAAGATCACAAGAAATCTACAAATGGATATGTGTTTACATTTGAAGGTGAATGCATGAATTAGAAATCTACATGGCAAAATTGTGTAAGTTAGTCTACAAAGAAAGCTGAGTATGTAACGGCATCAAAAGCAAAAAAATTATTATATTTGGTTGGATAGATTTATCATTGAAATAAAATTGAAACATGAGGCTGCCAATTTTCATTGTGATAGCATTACATTTTTCTACAAAATTTGTGATGGCAGCAGATTGTAACTCATCGACTTCATATATCACTTTATTAGACATGCAATTTTTGATGAATAGATTGAACTTGTCAAGATTAATGTTAAATTCAATTTAATTCATACATTATCCAGATTTATTCTTTTTGAAAATGTTGGCAAACATTGTGCTTCTATTTCGCATGAATAGCTTAAGTAGAGATTATTAACATTTTAGTTACATCCATAAATTTAGTTGCTTTATTCTATTTTGGCTATAACTCAATTCTAGTTAGCTCTGGTTTAAATAAACTACTTCTGCTAGATTTTCTTCTATGATTTTTTGTAGAGAGATTATATAGGTTAAGAAGGTTGTTCCCAAATATGTATTAGGGGAAGATTGTTAGTGTTAATACTTGTTTGGATTCAGAAGTGAGTTCACAGGGTTAGGATTTTAAATGTTGGCGGTAATGGTAATAGATCAAGCCCGTGGGACCCAAAGGTTCAAAAGGCTGTCGGTAAGAGTCAACAGAATATTTAACCTGACCAAGAAACTCATTGCGTGATAGTTTCTTCAATGAATGTCCATACTGGATTTCTCTCTATGTATTTGTCGCGTGAAATTTTCAACATATATTTAAATATATAGAATGCTAGAAGTTTTGTTGGTATATAAACTTCATCACAAATATTAAGTAGTTGATGACATATTTCAAATTGTGACAATGGATATGATTTATTGAAGAAAATTAAAAATGCTAAAATAAAATATAAAAGAAAAAAAAGAAAAACTTTTTTTACAATTTTCATGATATCAATAAATATAATATTTAAGTTTAATGCTAATTGTGATGTATATTTTCTCCTTAAAAATATATAATTTGTGTCTGAACGCTATAATTTGAATTGTAATTGTATATAAATAAAAGATCAGTATAAAGTAAGCATTAAATCTTATCATTCTGAAAAAGGTTTCAAAAAAAAAGAAGATATAACATTCATTCACAAAATTTAAAACTATATTATCTATGCTTGGTTGAATTTGTATGAACTTAGTGTCTATATAGCTACACTATTAGATTTTGAAGTTCTTGAGTTTACTTTTAACAAGAATGTTTAATGAATATATATATATATATATATATATATATATTTCTCAAAATATATATATGGACAAAAACGGCTAATAGTAATTATCAATTTGAAATAAATTTTTAGTTCAACAAATGTAGTAAAACTAGGTTTGATGTTCAATCTACTGTTTTAAGAGACTAAATTAAGCATATTTAGTCGAGTGACTATTATAACCATGATATTAGTAATGTGTAATTCGATCGTTTTTTTTCCGTTGCAACTTGATTATATATATAGACACTATGTATATTTAGTGTCTATATAAACAGCCATCACCGTAAACGAGTTCGGTGATGGCCGGTTATTTGAGTTTATATGATGTATAGATTGAATTGCCTCTGAGTGGGCACCCGTTTGTGACCCTGGCCTCTGTCTGCCCGTCTCCCCCATCCGAGTCCTCTAGGCTCTCGACGTTTCTCTGCTTAGCGTGCCCTGCTTTCTCCCTCATTGTTCCGCCAGTGCTGGTGCTGTCAGATGTGCACACAGTTCTAGGCGTCGCAACAATTTTGACTCGTCTTGTGTGTATGGGCCTAGATCCTGTCAGTTCCTGGTCGTTAACTTCTGGTACCCGAGAGGGTTTGGCGGCTTCGGCCCGGGTAGAATCGGGCGAGGCAGGTGGGGAGAACGTTTTGAGGTCGATGATTCGAGCTGTCAGGGTACAACTCGCATCTTCCTGAGTTGCTTGCCTGTCACCTGTCGCAGGAACGTTCTCGTGGGGAATTGAATCAGGGGAATTAGGACTACGAGGTGAAGGAGGTCATCCGCCTGAGGAGCTGTAGTTTGAGTGGCGTAATCGCGTTGTCGTTGTCGAGGAGCGTCTGTTTGAACTGTCGTCAGTTCGAATTGCACTGTTCATGAAAGGATTGCTGTGACGTTGTGGAGGCGGCCAGGGGATGTTTGCGTGGTGAGATGCCTGGAGGGTGTGGATTTTCGCGGGGAATTCGAATCTAGGGTGAACTCTGATGGAGAAATACTTTTTTCTTGCGTACTGCACTTCATGTATACGTGAGGAGTAACGTGGCGAAGATTGTTGAGAAGGTCACTTTCGGATCGAGACGCTTCCAGTGATTGTTTCTTGTGAGATTTGGGACTTTTTCTAGTGTCAATGACGCAAAATCGAAGTCAGTCGTACCGAGGACAGACTCAGTGGACGAAAAAACCTAGTCCTGTCGATGCCAATCCCTCAACTTCGAGAATTTCATCAGCGCGGGAACCACCGAAACAAGATGCTTGGAGTAGTTGGGGAGAAACAGGTTGGTGGTGGTTACCTCAATTTTGCTATATGTTATGTTGTGGCTGAGGTTCTGTGAAAGTGGTCGATTTGTGTCTTCTGCCTTTTAGGGGATTTCTCTTCTTAAACTCGAGTCTTATGAAGTCTTAATTTGTGCAATCTTGTCAGGTGATGTAAGCAACCAAGGTGCTTGCTGGGCGACACCAAATAAGTTCGAAGGTATCAACGGAGAGGAACTCCGAAGTATTTTGGACTGGGACGATGCCGCAGCAGCTGATGCTTATCTCTGCAGGTTGCGGGCAACTAAGGCGCAGTTTGACGCCGAAATCCAAAAGCTTTCTGCGCACATCGACTGGGAAAGGAGATGGGTTTGCAACCTCCCGGAATGCGCAGAGGCGATGACTCGCGAGGAGAATAAGAGGAAAGCGAAAGGAATCCATCCAAAGCATGAACAATCGCGGAGTGGGAGTCCCGTCATAATTGGCCTACCAGGAGGCAGAGAGCCTGGTGAGAATGATCGTGCCGTTTCTTCGCTCCATCTTCCTTTGTTTGCAGTACCTCCAGCCACTGGGTGGGGAGACGAAGGAGACGTGGTTCCTCCCGCTCCAACAGAATGGAATGTGGGCAATACGGCTGTACCCGTGGCCACAGGATGGGATGATGGCAATGTTGATATGCCCGTGGCTACAGGATGGGATGATGGCAATGCTGCTGTTCCCGTGCCCACTGGGTGGGACGATGGAGACGTTGATATTCCCGTCCCCACAGGATGGGGTGATGACGATGTTGCTGCCCCAACTCCCACAGGATGGGGAGACGATCGGGACGTGACAGTCCCAGTGACAGGGTGGGAAGACCAGGGAGCTAGGGCTGCTTCAAACTCAGCTTGGGAAGGACGGATGCCTCAAGACAATGCTCCCCATTTGCACAACTCAGCATCGTTCAGGTGGGATGAAGCTGGAGCAAGGCGTGGCCCGACTCGGTGGGCAGAAGTTGCAGCAAGGCCTGCTGCCTTTGGACGGGCGGTAGTTGCGACAGCGAACCCAGTGAATCAAGTGCCCGGATGGGAGTGTTCCACACCAGAGAGTCGTGGCACCAATGTTGCTTCTGGAAGGGAAGCAGCTGAGCCATTCGCTTCTGGTTGGGAAACTTTCTCACAGAATCAATTTGGCATGAATGCGGATTGGATGCAGCAGCCAACTTATCCGGACAATCCAGATTCTTACAAACACATTAAACCCTCAGGTTGGGATTATATTCCAGAAGAAAAAACACCCGCTCTAGATGTAGAGATGAACCATTGTCGCAGTGCGTACGGGGAACCTCTGGCTGCGCGCGACTTGCCGCGCAATGGTCGATCAGGAAGGATTCGTAATTACAGCAGAGGTGATGTTTACCAAGAACGGTTCAGACTTGGTCATAGCCGGCCTTTCAAGCTCGGTAAGAACGGTTACCCTCCTGGTTACTGCTTGCTATTCTTTCAACACTTCCCTGCTTGAGGAAATGTTTACTTCGTTATGGTGTGGGCTGTTATTGTTTGACGGTCTCCGCTGGGTAGGACAATCTCTGTCGTTTTGTTCACAATGACATCAAGGATCAATCTCAGAAAGTATGCCACATCTTATTGTGGTACTGAGGCTCTCAGGTTGCTAATAAGTTTGGAAGTGTCTGTTGGACAGGTTCAGAAAAGAGACCCAAGAAGGAAAGTGAACTTCACAACAATTTAAATTCCCACTGCCGAAGGAATTCCCAGAGGCAATGTAGATCTCCATTCGCGAATAACTTGAGAGTCAATCAAGAATCCAAGCCGTCTCTCGCGAGCCGGTTGGAGCGAGCTAAAAGCTCTGTTTGGCAAGCTGCTTGCGCCCTCTCAAATGGTACGGTTGCACAGTCGTGAAGGCTTCAGACAGTGTTTCATTTGTTCGTCTGTTTGTTTTCAATCTACTCTGTACCAGAAAATTGACTGTTGTTTTGTATTGGTTGCAGAGGAGCGAACATCTCTGATCAACAACGACAAGAAGCCGATAAGAACGTGACTACTGTTACAGGTGGTGATCTATAGGAGTCAGATGAAGAGTTTAGTTCCTTCTAAAGAGGAGATACTGTGAGTACGGTGTGAGTGTTCAACAGCTTTGATCATATCAAAAGCCACAAAACATTTTGTACTCTACGATACTGCAGGGTTTCCTTATCAAACTGGTGTGAGCGAGCGAGCTAGAAGTATAGAGAATACACGATTTATACTACGAATTGCTCTTATTTTAGCAGAGAAACTGGACGGTGATTTATTTACGAAGATATGAGTGTGAAAAGTTTTGGAAATCTGTATACAGTTCAGGTTTCCATCTCCGGCTCTAGTCACCCCCAACATGGATAGGGGTGGATGTTAAAGAATGACTTGGTAAACCTTTTATTGAGTTTACGTACGTTGTAAATGCTATCAGTGCACGAGAGTAGAAAGAAAGTAGTTGTATAGCCAAATATAACAAGAGATGAGGTTGTTTCTTTTTACCGTTTTTTCAGGATTTACAAAAGAGACAGTTATAGCTTAGGAGCCAGATACTGGTGGCAGAGGCCTTAATGGTTGCAGTCGATTATCACGTATAGCCCATGTAAGAAGATGAATGATCTGGCTGAAGAAGAAAACGTTTACGGCAGCTAATAAAACTTGCCCGCGATTGGTTTTTTTTCAACGATACAAGTGTTTATGTTTTCGCTACTCGAAAGTGTGACTTAATATTCGTCTGGTGTCAAAAAGTAACAACAGATAATCGATGATGTGATAGTTTTTTATTTTATTGGCTCTGTAAAGTAGCGATGATAGGTTGGGGGTTTTTCTGTCTCTCCTGTGTACATTCTATGGGATATATGCTCTATCTAGACTCGACAACTCTTGCAAAAGTGATGCTGGTGATTGTACTTGAATTTCATAACCGAAGCACTGGGTTACGAGATGTAGAGCCTTCTGCTTCTCATCCTTCTGGTCGTAATTTTGTGGTATAACTTTGTTATTGTTTGGGTATTGCGTCAAAACGTGGTCTCGAATCGACCTATCATCTGTCCAACTGATGAACCTTTCTCTAAGTTGAAGGAGAAACTATCATTGCGGGCATATTATTCCGTATCATTCTCTTTACTTCTGTTAGAAGGATACGATGGCCAATGATTTCTACAGTCATGTGACAGCCGTTCCTGCTGACTTTTTCTTCAATCATACGTTCTATTCTGAGTTAGATACATTCATCATGGTCCGACCAAAAGCATGTGTTGTGTTATCTCATGTTTTCAGACCTTCTTGTGTTAAGAGTGGAAGGTTGTCTTTGGATGATTTCGTAACTACACCCATCGAAATGATGGCTACCTTATTAGACCTGATGTTGGACGCCATTTCAGAAGAACAATCGAGGTTCTATCAATCAATCATGAGCTGTAATATGCTCAAATGTTCTGAACTGGAAATACGCTGAGATATTGCATGCACCTTGTGTAATGAGGACGTTTTCTGAACGACTAGTTGCTTCCAGATGTGTCAGTACGCATGTCTGGAGCTTTCATCTCTTTTAATACTGAAGGCAAAACTCTTCGGAGATGTGATCGCCGTGTTTCTCTTCTTATATTCATGCCAATCTTCGCGGTAGTAGCAGTTGCTGCCTGATGGCAGAGTTTGGTTCCTCACTTTCACTAGTTAATTACCCACAACCAGCTTACCAAAGAGTGAAGCAGGCTAAATCCTAACGAACGATAGTAACACTACACTGCAGCAGCGTCCTACTGTCCTGCAGCAGCTTGTGTAGAAGGAGTAGATATGAATTTGTTGGAAATGGGATATCTGAAACACCTGAAGCAGTTAATTGAAGTTTCAAATGGAGTGTGTACATACATTGGTGCTCTCTCCGAATGTTTTATGATCACGATTGGGGATGTTCTCCAGTACGCATGATCGATGTATGACTCTACGTACCGTTCTATCTTTTCCTCACGTACATGTCAACTTCTATTTGAATTTTCCGCGTTACATCCAGGCCTACATCGATTGAGTCTTTGCGTCCGTTCATCACTACACTTCGAAATAGAGCACTCGACAACACCAAACCTGCACGCGTTGAGACTGTGGGGTTTACAAACGAGGAAATTGTACGTGAGGTCTCGGAGACTACTATTCTCCACATTATCGGAGGTCGCAGCACTGCGCAGAGAGATGTTGTAAGCAATCGACGACTGGCTCAAGGGCAAATACGTCGGCCTTGTAAGTTCCGCTACGGACAAGTTGTTGCCCTCGGTCCGCCGTCAGAGGAAACTCTGCAAGGAGAGGATACTGGTTGTTGTAGACCTAGGGAGTATGCAAAGCGCCAGCAGGTTCTCGAATCTCACAACAAATTCTGGGACAAACCCTAATTACGATGAATGGATGATTTGCGAACCTTGGAGCGGAAAGTGTCAGATGGAGGTGCTTCAAACTAAATTGGTACTCTAATTTGTCGAAACGTTGTCTAGCTTTATTCCTCACAAGGTGGCCACGAATCACTTGCCAAATCTCTTCACGTGTCTCTCACTAGTCGGGTCATCTGCTTGAACATATGCTTGAAATTGTGCGCTGCAGATGTTAGGAATTCACTTGATTTTCGGGGACATCGAAGCTGAGTTCGAGAATTGATCGTTCCGGACCTTGGCCTAGCTACCCGAGGCTTTAACAATTTTGGGCTGTTTACTGCCCAACAAGTTTTGTAGAGCTGTCACGAACTTGCCGATGATACAAGAGGTACGGCTTTGTGTTCTCTTTTGGGTTGAGTTAGCTTCACAATTCACTGCACGCAGATGACCGCGAATCATTTTGAGGAAGTGACATTCTCTAAAATATGTGTTTGTTGGATGGCGTCGCGCCTGAGTCTGATGTTTGTCAACTCACAACTCAGTCAGCTGGAAATTCAGTGCGAAATGCGCATGTAGCAATTGTCAATCTTCTGAATCGAATTTGTGACGATGCAGATCATTCGGTGAGGTTTCGAGTGCTAACAAGCGCAGTGACGCCCAGAGACCATGGCCCAAAGAGAACGTTTGGGACACCTCAAGGTTTGTGTCCAAGCTGCTCGTGATAAATGCGATTCGGATGAATCTTTCGTTGAACGATGGAAATCATTTATTAGGCTTTTGCTCGAAGTCGTTCTCGTGGGACACTTGCTTTTGTTCCTTTGTATTTAATAACTAATGACCATCTATCGTGAGAATCAGACAAGCCGATCGCAATACATCCACCCACAGAGGTCGATACGATCATCGATTTGTGCACGATCAGCTCTTGTAATTTGATTTTTTATGAATCCTGACTTTGGAGCGTGTGGTCGATCGTGCAGTTTATGCAGCGTGCCAAACTGCGAGAGGAAGAAAACGTGAAGGCTAAGCAAGAGGAAGCAAAGGCTAACAGTGATCAGTGGGTTCTCAATTCAAAACCATCAGCAGCGTCATCGTGGTATGGTATCCTCCTCCTTTGATCATGTGCCGTCGATCGAGGTGTTGTCACCGGTTTCTCTCTTCGTGAAATGGCCGATACATTTCATAGGCCTGAAGAAAGATGTGTCCAGTTCCAAGAAGGTCTCCTTGCATGCTTTTGGCTCTCAAAGATGAAAGTGCCTGTCGGTGTAGGTTTCTTCAGTAATGCCCTCATTTAGAATATACGTTTGTCACCGCGAAAGATACTTACTCTTAATGTGATGTAGTTTTGATTGCATTTGTTAAATTACTTTATTGAAATTCTGTGGTTCGTGTTATTCAGTGTCGTGATTGTGGAGGGGGACCCAAAGCCGAGCAGTGTATCCGGTCGGATGTCATTTCGAAGTTTTAATCCATCATTCGAGGTAAGACTAGTTGCAGAATGCTATTGGGAATTGGAGGAGCTGAGGCCTGATTCGCTGTCTTCAAACAGGATGCACGAACAGCTCGGTCAGACAAATTAACCGATGGGATCTTCAAGATTAAATGATTATGTTTAGAAGTACAGGTGTAAGGAGTGTAACATAACACGAAGGCAGATGTCCATGAAGTACGTTTATGGTTCAGCAGGAAGAGCTCAATCTAAACAACTAATTCTCCTTCACTTCCGGTGTTACACTCCACGCCACCATTGCTTGGTCAGTCCTCGTGCATGTTTTCTTACAATTTGACCAACTAATGAATCCGATGAGGCTCAGATGTTATACTGAGATGCAAAGAATTGCTGAGTGACTCGTCTCACCGCTCTTTAAATTGTAAGCTTTCCGGAGCTTTCTAGACCCGAGGAGTGTTCTAGCGTTGTTCACCTACTCGTTCACGGTCGAGGTCCAAACCTACACAGGCTCTGCTGGTTTAGGGTTCACCGAAAGCGAACATTCCGTTAGTGAATCTTCGCTAGAGAACCCTGTGGTACAAGCACATTGCGAAAGTGACATTCCTCTGCCTTGTGCGTCCTAGTGGAGATGGAGTAAGGAGCCTACCAGGCTCATTTCCTCCTTCAGCTGCCTGTCATTGGGTGAGTTTTGGATTGTGAGCAATCCGCGGGGATCATCGATCTTGTAGACGAAATGTTCGCGATCTTAAATTTTATTCGATTGCTCAAACTTGGACTTGAATCTCGATCATCGGCCGGACGACGTTGGTCTTTGGTCGTAGACAGTGATACGGTTTCATACCGAATAATAGTTGTCAGCTTTGAGGCTTATGTTTGCCAGGAAGATGCTGTTTTTGATCTGCTTGTCCAGGAGCACCACATTTGAATTCAATTTTGGATTGGTGAGACCGTTGTGTTTGAGATTGACTTCAACGTGCTAGAGCTGCGTGCCACACGACTGCCTGTTTGCTTGCCCGGTTTCAGCTGTTTCTCTCTTGAGCCATTTGTCCCGCTGCCCCCAGTTGCTCAAGCGATGTGAAACTTTTTGTAGACGTACGAACTTTTCACATCTAGAGGTCTGAGGTTTCTTCGGTCGATGTCCTGATCTTCCTGGACAGTTTATTCGGGGGTTTTAAACCACCGCTCTGGTTTTCCTCTGTTTCACTTTCTTCAGTTGTGAAGACATGGTTTTCTCCGTGTTTACTCAATTTACTTGGTCAATCAGTCATGGAATCAGTCACTTAATCCCTCAGCCAAGTGAATTGCAAAAACACGACGATTCCTGTCTCTAATTCTTCCACAACTTCGTCGGAGCTATGGGGAGGTTTTAGGAGCATCCTCCGAGTGCTTTCATGTGCGGTCAAGTTACACGATAACTATCCTCGAGGTGTTCACATTCATAAAATCTGATGATAAGATGTGGTCACTTGACGCAGGTGCCATCTGGAGAAGCTGCTAGCAGCCAGAAGAAGCCAGGAACTGACCAGGAATCAACTGTCATCACCAGCCAAGAATCCACAGCAGTTGTCGCCAAGAAACCAAGAAATCAGTAGAAGTTATAAAGACGCATTCACAATGTACCTGCAATACATCACGTGAAGTGTCCCATTTTTTCGATAGAGGCTTATGCTCTGTCAGTTCTAAGTCCCCACTTTCCGTGCCGGATGTAGCTTGGATCTTAAAAGTTTGATATATTCGAGGCTCTTTGTTCGCCTGGATAGCACTCGTCAGTGCTTTTTCTGTTCACCTTTTCTACCGCCCACAAGTTGTTCCGTCGAGAGTCGTGGATTTCCGACACTTTTTGCCCGCAGTATCTGAGACCCGCATGTTTTTCAGAAAGGCAAGTGGTCCGAAGAAGTGGATCGCGCCATCACAACAAGGCCTATGTGTAATTCTGCACGGAGGAAGACGGGGCTTTTTCAGCGGGTGGGTGAAATCAGTCACCCTTCTGAGTGACTGATTCTACCCACCGCAGTTGACTGATTTCACCCACATTCGTCCATCACTCTGCAATGGAGGGTTTATCAATGCACATAGCAAGGATTAGTGTGAGAAGTAACTAAACGCAGAAGTCTCCCTTTTCTCGTCGCCCCGTCATTTTTTAATTACTTTTCGTCGCCATTTGAAGTAGAAGTAGGAGGAGAAGGAAAAGAATCAGGAAATCTGTGTTCAGGATCGGTAGTTTTTGCGAAGTATGGTAGAGTATGCACCTCATACTGGAATCGGGCGAGGAACTGGGATCTGGAGGAGAGAACGACACCGAGGAAAGAAAGAAAGCGCGCCTGAGGGCAGATGGATATTTCGCGCAACGAGAATAATGTCGAGCTTGCACAACATGTCGGGGAGGAGGATGGCGCCCCGACATACGGTGGAAAGCAGAGAGCTCGGGGCTCCAGGTAGAGGCACTTTCAAATATCTCGGACACACGTAGTCCTCCACCAGAACTTTAGCAGGCAGAGAAATGCTCACCCGGTTCACGTTTCTCGAAAACCACCCAGCGGAGCAACATTATCTACAGCAGCAGATCGAGACCGTGCGCCGGATGCATCTGTGCATCTGTGATGATTCCGGGGCGCTCTGAGCACCACCTGTGCCCCGGGTTCTCCGAGGGGCTTATTGATGTCACCACCTGTACCTGTGACTGCTGCGGGGGGCTACGCTCTAGCCCCCCGCCTCGTCCCCTGCGTCGCACCGTCCGATGCCGCCGATCCACGGCGCGGAAGTGCACGAGCCTTTTGCTTTCCAACCTCCGTGTGGCGGTGCCTGTAGGTCTACAACCCCGTCCCCCTCTCGCCCTTTTGAAGGCGCAGGGCCAGAATTTGATCTGCCATCGATCCAATTCGCGGCCCTCGCGAGATGGAGCAATGACGTTGCCTGAATCGATTCCGGCCACTCCAGAGCCACTAACTCACCCCCGGCGATTCGCATATGCGCTCGGAATCTCGGGACTCGTGTCAGCTTTTGGCAGCCCCCCTCACCGTTCTCAGCGGCTGTCAAGGCTTACGCTGGAAGCTTATCCTCAGTGCCTCCCTCTGACTGCCGTAGCTGTGCCATCATTGACAGTAGATCTAGCTCTCCCTGCCACTTCCACTACTGTACGGTGCCGTAGCACGTAGTCCGATACTACGCTACTGTACTTAAAACTTGCTCTGTCAAGAGACGGGTTTTTGGCTGCTTTCTTCTCGACCTTCTCTGTTGTAGTGTGGCTCGATGTTGTTTACTTCCATGGCTTTTACTACGATCGCTACTTTATTTTATTTTATTTCTCACTTAGTTTGAATACTGGCTAATCCTGACGAACATGATAATTCCATGAAATTGGTGAATCTGCTATGCTTGACAATTTGAAGTGAAACGCAAAGTCGTCGTTAACAACTTATGATAATCTGGCAGTTTGTTTACGTTCCAAGAATAAAGAATAAAAACAAGGGATTAAGAGAATGTCAATCTATAGACCAACTGGAGAGGATCAATCTTTGAAGGAGAAGAGTGGAGTTTGACCTCTTTGGTTTCATCGGATTGGAGAAGATATCTTGTCTTACCTGCAAGATTAGTCGCTCTTTAAATTATAAGTTATTTACTCTTTTGACTTACATCTTCGTAGACACATGAACTAACAAGGTCTATGGTACAAGGTTTGAAGTACAGAGGCAAAACACAGGAAACAAAACTAGGCAAAACAAAACAAGGTCATGCATAAGAGTCAAAGTACATCCGAAGTATACTGCTGTCAGGCATGATATTTCCTCTATGAACCAAGAGATGATAGTAAAGTAAGCTATACAAGCATTTCGTGTCACATCAAACACTAAATTGCCTTGTATATATTTTATTGTATATATATATATTTCTTGATGGATAATTTTTTTAAAATTAGGATGGGGTTAGTTATCCCTCGTCTAAAGTTAATTAGCACTCATACTACTATACGGTATTACCCTACTGGTCGAACACCCTACAGTTGCTGTTGCATCCCTACTACCTTGCAGCTACTATTAGATTGCATAAACCAATAAGAGAGCTAATTACCTTGTCTGGACCAATAAGAGAACTATGTGTAGTAGAGTGAGGGCAAATTAGCCCTAAGTAACTAGCCGCTACCTAAAATTATTATCGTGAATTATTATCATGTACGCTAGGTTTTGCACAACTTTAAACTTAATTGGGATGAATATATGCATTTGTAGAAGTATTTTAAGAAATAATGATAAGGATTACAATACTGCATCAAATTTTGATCAGAAGTACGTACACAAATGCTTGATTTACATCTTAATAGACTTTGCAAATAGTGAGGAGTAAAAAAAATTGCGCCAATAACTGAAACAAATATGTATTTTGAAATATTTATTTTTATTAATATCTTCAAATAATTAGAGATTCAATATTCTGAAATATTCATGCCAGTAAATCAGATTATCATCATATAAGATAGAGAAATAATTTTCAATAAAAGACTGCAAGTAATAAGAAGATTTCAAGAAATGTTATACTAAAGATCAAGTTTTTAGTTATAACTTTTCCAATAACTACTGTGCAATATGATATGTGTGCCTAACATTCTAGTTCAACTTTTATCTATGTGATACATAATAATTTTTTTCTGTTATGTGCCTATATCATAGTTACTTGATACAGTATTCAATTAGTAAAATGATTAATTTACTTCTTCAAATGAATGTTTGATTGGATGAAATGATGGATCTAGTTAACTTGAATAAACTATTCCGAATTAAATAATGAACAAAATCAGAAATATTTATAAAAATAATTTGAATCAACAATGTATATAAGCTTCAGGAAAATATTTAAAATATTTAAAATCTTATGTACAGATCTTATGTTACAGATTATATTCAAAAAAATTTAGGTTTTTTTAAAAAATTACTCTAATTTTAGAACTATTGGTATTGTCTAGTTTTTATTTCAACATGCATGATGCATATATGAGTTTAGTTAGTAAATTTTGGATCAAAATATCTATGTCTTATCAATTTGATATGGATTATGATTGCAACCATATGGATTTAAGTTTTTATGCATATCAACATCTTGATCTTTAATATCAATTAGATTATAAGTTACAAAATAAAAAATTACAAAAGTTACAAATCTTAATTAATCAAATCAAAGTTACAAACTAGCCAATGTACTTAGCTTGATAGCATCATTCCTATTGATTTGAGCAATAACCATAAAATCTTCTAAGTACTCATTGAGGTCTTGCTTACTATTAACCAAAAAAATCTTGTATTGAAACCTAGGTCTTTGCATGATCACTATGTCTTACCTGGTCTGCAATGATTCCAAGTCATTTAAATTTTCTTCCACTCTAAGTGTTTTTTCTCCAGAGACTTGCAAAGAATTATCTTCCGTAGGTTGAGTTCTAAACTCTTGGATCACCTCCTTGATTTCTTGTAACTCTATCTCCACATGAAGATATATTACTATTCTAACTTGATTCTAGTCCGGGCATGTTCATACAAGAGAATGAAGTATTCTCTTTTACTCAAGTTAGTATCTTCCATCAAACCAAAAATCTAACTTGCACATCTTTTGTAAAAAAATTTCCCGGCTACGGCGCCAACAAAACAAGACCACATTATGTCAAAGACTTATCTTAGAAGTTAGCATCAATCATATTCTTATTAATGTTTATCAACTCGTTATGTAATTGATTCTACAAGAAGTGTGCTCTTTGAGATAAAAAAGAGTTCTTTTATGCCATAACACTTCTTTAGATTGTAACTAATAATATATTGTTTTAATTCCATCGCTGCAAAGTAAAATCTAGCTTAGAGATGCCGTCAACTTCCTCTAAATACTCTCTAATCCAAGTGAAGTAACTCTGTGCTGTCATCAAGAAGTTACTATGCCATTTCATCTCTCACCTAGATCAAACAAACTTCCAAAAGATACATGCAGGAAAAACTTCAAATATATAGATGAATGTTTGATATACAGAATTCCAATAATGACACATACTTGTTTTAGGGTTAAGAGTAACTTTGAGAAAATTTTGTAACATCAAGATCAAAGCTTAGAGTTACACTTGTTGAACGTTGAAGTATTTCACGCATATCACAAACGTCCACAAGTGCATTGCTTGGCGTGCTTTTTTTCATTTTTTATATTACACTATTCACGACGAATCTGCACAATTGTCTAAGCGTAAGCTTTCGGATGTCAAGACAAAATTGAAGGTTTTTAATTTTCTCAATCAACTTGGAACCATCCACGATGAAGCATCATCAGCATTTTTGATTGTACGTCCAATAATTTTAAAAATTTGAAAGCAGAGAAAATTTATCAGGTAGGCGGCATTGAAATCGAATCAAGATGAAATTTAAATGATTTTTAAATCAACTCCAATGCAAATTCTTACGGACATGATGCATCAATGGCAAAAGCATGTTGGGATCGATGCGCCCTATCTGATCGTGATTGAAGAGGTGTTAAAAACAAGGCTCCATTTTTTTTGAGATAAGATTTTAAATGACTTTGTAGAATGTTTGAAATCATTAGATATAGTTCATCTTCAGGTATTTGTTGTGTCAAATAGATGGATGGAGAAATATCTGAAAGGCATCTCAACATGTAGTAAGAAGAGACGCTGAGCATATAATAACTTCAGTTTCATCTAGATTGACAAACGATTGCATGAAATTTTTGAAGCACTAATTGATGTACCACTCGAATGCATCATCAACATTGATGAGTCGGCTTTTACAACATCGC